GCTGCTTTTAAGCTAGTGCCGCGTTCTACAGGACGTTAAGTGAATAAAGTTAAAATCATTCACAATTACAGTAAAACGCACGCCAATAAAAACTCACTTACACGTCGTCGTTTCGAATCTGATGATCGAAAAACGCGAAGTGAAAATGTGTCTCAGTGTCGTCGTTCCGTAGCATCGGGTGGGCGTTGCGTGTATTTAAACTCCCGCGGCATGACGTCTCAATCCGGGTTACGGGTAGTGAAATTTCCGCTTACGCAAGTTCCGGTAACATGTAATATCATAGTCAAAATGTTAATGCACAGGTTTTTGTTCCGGGTGAAGGAAATTCCTTTTCATAGAATTCTGGGGATGGGAATATTTACTGTATACACACACACATATATATATAAATGTATGTGTGTATATGTATGTGTATGTGTGCACACACACACACGACTGTTAAACAGAACATTGAGACTCAATTTTGTGCTTTTGCTCCCTAACTGGACCCTTCTAAGGACATTCTGTCATTTAAAATCTATTTCAAAACAAATGTTTACATGCGATGGAGTGGGACATGAGGCCAATTCCTGACTAAGCACGATTGTAGCATGAGAAAAAAGAAGTACTAATTAATCACGTCTGTGGATTTTAATCCCAGACGTTTTACAAGAAACAACTTGCAGTCCGTCTTTGTTTGAAAAGAGCAAACGTCTTTATTTTGGATCCTTTTGAGTGACAGTGTGGTCATTGAACTGACACCCGGTTCTAGTGTCTAATTGGCGCCTGCCCCCCTTCAATGACATATCCACACATCCATCAGTTCCCGCATCCATTCTCTGCACCGGCATTGTTTGATGAGGCTGAAAGCAGCAGAGTGCGGTGGAAAGCTCTGTAGCATTGTGCACCGCATTGTTGTCGCTCGACTGTACAAGTGTCCACCAAACACTCGTAGGTGCTTCTCCGCAAAAATGGCTCACCCTCCATTGTCGGCTTTGTGGCCATTTAGTAAACCTGCAAGCCCCTGCGCTCGCCTGAGAGCTGGAGCTCATGCAGGTATAGCAAACGTACGTTAGCTGCCTCGAGAGCGGGAAGCGAAAATCCACTTTTCCTTCATCCGTTCATTTCACTTCACCTCCTATATGACTGTCATGTGAGTGCTCTCTCTTTCAATTTCATTTTTGATTAGATAACTTTCTCTCGTTAGCGCATGTCACCCTTATGATGGAATTGCAAGTTGGTGTGGCTGCTGAAGGCTGTAAATTTCCCCAGTGTGGGACAAATAAAGGATATCTAATCTAATCTAATCTAATTGATTTTGATTCCCACATTATATTTCGCTTGGGGCACATCTGCTCACCAGCCATAACATTTCGGTACATTCAATGAGATCCGATACAAGCGCATGTATCAATAAATTCTGGCTTTTGACAATGCTTAATAATGGCACTTAATTGTGATTTTCCGATGAATATTTTTGTACTTTAAATGAAATGTCTTCTCTGTCTTACAGTGTTGAAGAGCCCATGTTGTTGGAGGTGGAGGAAAATCAGGTGAAGAAACCGGCTCTCGTTCCCAGCCTGTTCTCACTCTTCCCTCCCACACTCTATTTCAGTTCTGCCAATGAACAAGGTATGCGAGCACACTCAAATGCACACAGTTCTTGCTGTCAGTAAATAGCTTCCTCAACCCGAAGCCGAAATGTCCCACTCTGTACCCCCGCTACTTTAAAGCGCAGCATACATGAACTGATTTAAAGGCGTGAATCTCGATGTTCAACATGTGACTCTACGAACATTTTACCCCAGTTCACTTGATTATACGTCCATGGAAAATGCCCCTCGGGTCTTGTATGATTTTAGTGCTACCCTTTCCGTTTCTAAAGACATTCTGGAATTTTGAAGATTTCTTTTTTTTAAGTGCTTAACACTTTCATGCACCCTGTAACCTGATAACATGGTAAGCTGTCCACTGTAGTAACCGCTGTCCCTGAAAGGGTTATGGTTTTTAAATAAGACCAGTTGTCATTTATTTGCATAAATTATTCAGTAACTTAATTTTTTTCAGCCTTTAAATTCTAGTTTCTTTGCGTAATTGTTTGTTTTGAAAACAACCTAAATAATAGCTTTTTTTTTTTCCAAAATGTATTCTCAGTACCACTTTTTTGTTATTCTAACAACACAGGCTTTCTCCATGTCAGGTGAGGGAGCTTCTACTTCCATAACTGAGGGTATCTTTGTTTCTTAAAATCGCCATCATTTGCACCATTGTCGTGCAGTAAGCCATTGTATGACTCTTTTGGAAATTAAAGAGTATTATCATCATGAAATTGCTCTCTTGTCCCAAAATGGATGAATGTCATGAAATCTGGTAGAAAATGGAAAACTGAAAATGTTCAAATGTGGGGCTTAAAAGAAAACCCATTTTGCCTCAATTTGTATGATTCAACCCGGTACATAAACAGTAATTTTTAAAAAAATGGGTTTCGTGGACCTCAATTGGCCAAAAGTGGCCACAGTAGAGCCAAAAGGGGCAGTTTGATGTCGGCAGTACATTATTGATATACCGTATTTTCCACGCTAAAAGGCGCACTGGATTATGAGGCGCACCTTCAATGAATGGCCTATTTTGTCATTTTCTTCATATTTTGGACGCATCGCATTATAAGACGCAATCTACAATGCATCCACTAGATGGAGCTACACTCAAGGAAATGGCAACAGAACACTACACTACACCCTGATTTATATAGCTACAATCAGATGTCAGTAAAACTTATTTAATAAAGCAGCGACACAGTTCACTTAACCAACAGCAAGTTACAACATCGACTTGTTAACGTTGGAACTCCCTTGCCGCTGCTCTATTTCCATGTTCAACTGCGAAACCGATTGCCTTAAGTTTGAACTCTGCATTGTAAGCATGTCTCTAACAAGGAGCCATTTTGGGGGTCGACATATTACCGTAATGACCATACACAAGGTGCATTGGATTTTAAGGCGCGCTGTGAGCTTTTAAGAAAATGGGGAGGCTTTTAGGTGCGCCTTTTAGTGCGGAAAATATGGTATTAAAGAAAAATCAAACCAGGGTTTCTCCCATTTGGTTCGAACCAATAGGGCAGCACCTATCGTGACATGAAAACAGTCTCTCAATGAAGTGTCTCTACTTACTGCACGCGTCTAAGGAGGTTCTTGCGCGGTATTCAAGATAAGCTTGCATTTTATGGAGTTTTGACGAGGACTACGATTCCAGGAGACGCTGATCTGATGTCACCACACTGTTTTGTGTGACCCTGTTCACATTTCAGAGAGCGACTCATTTATTCTTTTTTTGCACCTCGCGTCTCTCTTCATGCTAGTCTTTATTTTTGTTGTTGTTGTGTCCCCTGCAGTTGAAATGCTGCCCGAAGAGCAAGCGCGACTTTTAAAGTGGAAGATTAGCACAGTGACGCCCAATGTTGTGAAGAACGCCATCGCTAGGTCGCACTTCGTCCACACCAAGAGTAGGTTGTCTCAAAGTGCATTTGTTGTCTTTTTTTTTTTTTTTACAAGATCATAACACTTACCATTGAGTATCTGATAGAAAGCCATGACTGGTTGGGCTGCTGGGGACACCACATGAAGTCTCCTTGTTTCAAGACTCTTCAAGAACACCAGAAGGTGAAAACGTGACACTGCTTGGAATCAGTCAGTCGAAAGACAATATTTTGTTTTCCCCACTGAACTCCCATTTTGCTCCTTTCTGGCAATTCCTAGTTGAACCATTTCCCCGGAACATTCCAGATTGGCAGGAAGGACCGACTGTGGAAGAATCTGTCCAAGATGCAGAATCGCTTCGGCAAGCAGGAGTTCAACTTTATCCCGCGCACCTATGTCCTTCCTCAGGACATCCTGCAGCTACGCAAGGCCTGGAAGGACGGGTCCAGACAGAAGTGGATCATCAAACCGGTAAATTCACGATGCTTCATTTTAATCAAGTTTTGCCCCTGCAACTGTGGACATTTTTGAACGGGATTTCTTATTTCCCAATAGCCTGCCTCAGCCAGAGGAGTGGGAATTCAGGTCATTCACAAATGGAGCCAGATGCCGCGCAAGAAGTCAATACTGGTCCAGAAGTAATGAGTCATGAAGTCGTTGGGAATTTACAAAAGTCTTGGGATACTGCTCTGAATCAGTTATTTCACGGTTTGCATCACCACTTCCTTTAAGTGCCTCGAAATGGGCTCGCATCTCTCCACACAAGATGATTCAATACGATTCTGGATACGCGGGGTATGATACGATGAAAACATTTTGCGATTTTTTAAATGTAACAATTCGGTTCAATTTAGTGGGATTGCAATTCGATTCAATATGGTACGGCTGCGTGTTTAGTCATGTGCGACAACAAGCTTTCCAAAAACCCAAACCATCCAAGTGAATTAATTAGATTCAAAGAAACGCCAAATAGGAATCAACAACTTTAAACCAATTTCTATTTGTTGTACATCTCTCAAAAGAAGACGATACGATCTGATGATCAATCCATGGGGTGGGATGTGACTCAAGGATTCAAAGATTTTAGTGTCACAATTGGACTTGTCAAATCAAAGCCGATTTTACAATTCAAATCGGCTTTTGTTGCACCACTAATAATAAGAATAATGAGAATTCTTCTTCTCTTCTCATTATTATTAAATCTGAAGAGCCATTACATATTTCCCAATACTTTTGTCCATAGGTCAAAAACATTTTTTTTTTGTAGCCGTGTTTTTCTACCAATGACAAACTGTGTTTTTTCAGGTATCTCCACAAGCCCTACCTCATCAGTGGTAACAAGTTTGACCTGCGCATCTACGTCTATGTGACATGCTACGACCCGCTCAGAATCTACATCTTCTCAGACGGACTGGTCCGCTTTGCAAGCTGCAAGTCAGTCTTCACGAACCTTTTACCAGAGTGACATTTTACTTCATATCTGGAAATTCTACAGCAGGCGATAAATCATTTAAACTTTGACGTTCTCTGCCTCCGTAGATATTCGTCCTCCATGAAGACGCTGAGTAACAAGTTCATGCATCTGACCAACTACAGCGTCAACAAGAAGAATTCGGAGTACCAGACCAACAGCGATGACAAAGCCTGCCAGGGACACAAATGGTAACTCAAAATAGCAGATTCAGATTCAGAAAACTTTATTTATCCCCGTGGGGCAATTAGAGTTGTGCGAGAGCGGCTTATTATAGAGACAGTCAGAGCAAAGGAAAAACATAAGATGAGAGGAGCTTAGCACTTGAGGTCTTGAGGTAGTAGCAGTAGAGTTGAAGTCACGTGTGGGACCCCTAACTCATTTTTGGGAAAATTCTAATCAGGTCGAAAAGTTCACTTAATTCTGTTATCTTGAACAGAGATTTGGGGGAAAAAAAATATAAATATATATATATATATATATATATATATATATATATATATATATTTTTTTTTTTTCTGCTTGTCTCCTTTTGTGTCATGACACAGTTTGGACTGTTATGAAATCATATACGCTGTTTTAATTTTTGTGTGTGCTTTATTGCAGAACTACTTGACTATTTTTAGTGTATTTTTGTTTGCAATGGAAAAGTTTAAAATGCCCTTTGTTTAAAATGCCCTTTGTGTGTTTTTAACCCTAGAGCAGGGGTGCCCAACCTTTTTTGACCGAAGAGCTACTTTTCAAGCTACCAACTTCCCGCAATCGAGCCCTTACCGCACGTGTACGCACACACGCACGCCATGAAAAGCAACAGCCATAACAGACCCAAACATTAACCAAACTGAAAAATAAACTACATACAAGGACAAGACTGAGTATGTAAAAAGGAAATCACTACCTACCTCAGTGTGACAGCTGATACAGGGAGCCAGCGATGCACTTTTGTAGCGTGTTAAGTGTGGAAACATCACGATCGTAGCTGGCATGCACTGTGGCGCTCCAGATTCCCATTCTGTGACAGTGCCAACGGCGAATTGCAAATCAAACAAACTTTGAAGGAGAATAAGCAAAGAAAAAAAGGGATATATCTTAACAGCTCTGATAAATACTTTTTGTGTTTTTTGTGTTTCGTGTGCAGTGTACTCGAACACAAAAATATATCATACCAATAACACGACCACCCCTCGCGGTCGACTTCGATCGACTGGTTGGGCTCTCCTGCCCTAGAGGAAAGAAAAAAAAGGTTTTAATAATCCTGTATATGATGGGACATAACCTGAGTGCACTTGTGTGTTTTCAGGACTGTGAAGGCCTTGTGGCAATATCTTGGCTCCAGGGGAGTTAACACCACCGTGATTTGGGAGAAGATTAAAGACATCGTCATCAAAACAATAATTGCGTAAGAATTAACTTGTTTTGTTTTGTTTTACCTGAATTCATGATGTATAATACATTCTGTCTGTCATACGCACCTCCTCAGCTGCATTTTCCATCTTCCCCTATATTGTACACACCCTAGAATTGCTTGTAGAAAATTGAAGTGTTATTCGCATGGTAATTTGTATTTCATAGGGCAAGTCATAAGTTCCCTTTCTTTGTTTTGCTTTGAGGCTAAGTCACAAAGACAAATCCTGATCACAGTAGATCTCACAAAAACGAAAAAGAATAATGGAAAGTACCACATATGTGTTCTGAGAGTTTTCAAAGACGACTGAGGCAAGAGCAGTGTAAAAAATTAGCCTTTCATCAACGAACGCTTGCTTTGGAATATATTTCTTACCTCATGGGAAACCCGCTTTTACAAAAAAAAAAAAAAACCCCAAAACAACCCATCAAGTAAAAAATGTTTGTTTTTATTTCCGGCTGTTTTTAGAAAGCTCACATTGTTTAGATCGGTGGTTCTTAACCTGGGTTCGATCGAACCCCAGGGGTTCGGTGGGTCGGTCTCAGGGGTTCGACAGAGCCTCTACCATGGAGGGTAAGACACACGCAACTCAACATGTTAATTAGTTATGACACGCCCGCTTGGCCAGGGGCCCCCAACCTTTTTTGCCCCACGGACCGGTTTATGTCAGACAATATTTTCAGGGACCGGCATTTAAGGTGTGGCGGAAATAATACAACAAAATAATATGGTATGAGCTGCATGAAAACTGTGGCGTTTTCGAAATATAATAATAAACACAAGGAGCGTCTAATCTGGCCGCAACACTCCGATCGCTATGGCAATGTTTAATGCCTTCAAAATACGATACAACGCAAATTCAAAGTGCATGAAAATGACCACTCACCACAGCCCCGAGCTTGATTTTCTGCAAC